AAGCAAAGTAAGTTTTTTCTCTATGGCAGAAATCTCTCTAGAAGTCTATGATTCTTACCCTCTGAAAGCTGTGAAGAAAATTACGATTTTAGTGAGGACGATTTTATTTAAGTATCAACAACTTGAAGAAATTTCCTGAAGAATTTAGTAATATTTGAGAGACACTCATTCAAATATCAGACAGTACATATCTACGAGTTGTATGCTGAAAACATCTCCTTCTAAAACAATATTTTTGTTTAATCAAAAAATTAAGTCCCATTCATCTTTTTTTTAGATCCGATGATCCACATATCTTAGCCTATGGTGAGCCAACATATCATATTCTTCCAGACAAGACATCAGTTATTGAGAGGACCGCATCAATCTATAGAAACAGGTAGATTTAATGAGCGTGCCGAGAGTGATAGAACATTCTAGGTTTCTGTAGAAGTTTCTCAGGAGAATGGCGAAATATTAAAAGCTTTAACTGGCATACATTCTTTTTTTTCAATAAATTTGATTATAGAAGAAGCACTGGCCTCTGCGACAGCGATAAAACGCTCAGCCTTGCTAATAACAATGCTGGTATTCAATGTCGGCATAGCATGAAGGCAAAGGTAATTTAACATAATCAATCGATATATCGATTACTACTGCATGGTTATCTGTAGATGAAGCACAGGTGGCTTAAAAATATGGAAAACTAGAAAATACAAAGTTGTTTGATACATAATATAAGTCATAAGAGATTTCTATGCTTTTTCTTTTCAATTCTCTATTTATCGATTACCTTAGTTCTTAATTACTGATCGGTTGACTGGAACTACATCATCTCCTTAGTTAGTCTTGATGTTTGAATTTTGAGGTCTCCAAGATGGTGGAATTCTGGGGAGCAGAAACGCCATTTGCAAATTTCAATCGCAAGAAGTCATCAACTTGCTTTGAGCCCGGTTTGATAGTGGTAAGTCTACCTATGTAGCTAAGTTTTTTTTTTAGTTAATTTACCCATTACAGGATGATACTCCTCGACGTCCTAACTATAGTAATACGATCCAGTCAATGACTCTCATTGAAAACAGTCTCACTAATTTTTCATTGAATAAGTGAGTGCCTTCCTCATTTTTACAGCTTCTTTTCTAAAGCCTTCAAAAAAAAAGAATGTAAAAAATGTAAATCGAATGAAAATAATGATTATGAGGGATCTCCTGCTTGGTATATTTTTGGCGGAGATGACATCACAAGGAAAAGAAAGAATCTCGTCATACTCAATCAGGCAGCTAGAACAGAGTTATTGGTTAAAACATAGAAATTAGACTATTTTTATGTGAAATACCGTATCAACGAGGTAAATTCTGTAGAACTTTATTATCTACGAACACGATGAATAAAAAATTAATAAAATGTAGAAAATTGGTAATGAGTTACAACAAATTACTAGCTGAAAGCTATTTCTTAGCAATAATTGGTATTTGTTTAGCATTAACAACATGTTCAACTGTCGTCATCCGAAAAGCCAAGTGTCACCGTACTTGCTATGGCCATTCAGGTAGGTAGTTCAATCCAAATAGCACTTAAGTTAATTTTTTCTCTTCCCTAAAGACATTTTTCTAGAATATCACGAAAAATTACAGAAGATTATGAAATTTCTGAATTTTGCAAAAAAAAGCAAAATCTCTCAGCTTTACTGCAAGCACTGAGGTTGCAGCTGTCTTATGTAATTTTCTGACCACGTTCCAAATTTTCTTCTAGCTTCTTGTGCTTTACATATTACTGTAGCTTTGAAAAGTGCGATGAATTGGAAAAACATTGTTTGAGATGGTTGAGATTGAGTTAAAACCTAATATATCCACTTTACCACAAAAAGTCCTGAATATTTCTTCTTTATAACCAATGAAACTTCTCAAAGATTTTAATGAACTCAGTTATTTTCTCTGCAAAATTTATTAATCTGATTTCTTCCCTTGAAAT